CACCCTTCACACTTCCCAGCTTACAGCAAAATGAAGATACCATATAGCAAAAAATCACCCCCGCTCCCAGACACTGACACTCTTCCCCTGCTCAACTTCTAGGTGTTTCTGATATTACACCAGTCCCTTAGCATGTGCAGGACCATCCTCCATGGCCTTCACCCTATTATTTGGTGAGAAGTACATCCATGCATTAAGGACTTCAGGAAAAATTATCTTCCTTAAAATCTGGTTTATTCTGACTGCAAAACTGGACATATTTCCAGAAGCTCTAAAAAATGCATTATTGATACTTCCTGATGCTTGAGGAGCAATTCATAACTGTCACTTGCTCTCAGGCCAGAGTTCATTTGAAAGAGACTTCTGGCTTGTCCGAGAACTCCCCTTTCTGTCCCAATTCCCATTCCCAATTCCAAAGAAAAAAGCATCCACATTCTGCAGTTTGACAGGTTCTGGACTAGAGTGAAAAGGGGTAAGTACCTGAGAACAAATGGGAAAGCAAAGCTGCAGGGGATGCAACAAAATCCAGTTGGAGGGTTTTGTGACAACGTTCAACTGCCTCAAGTCTGCATAAAAGGTGGTCCACGATCTGCTCAAGGTGAGTCCTACCAGGACAGCAAGGCAAGGAAGCAGCAGCAGGTAGGAGCATGACTAGACCATCAGAAAGGATGCCAAGATACCAGGTTCGAAACACAGAGGGGAGTGAACTTTAGACAGAGGATTGGGAGAGGGGGTCCTTCCCCTTGGCAGCAAATCCAGGCACTTCAAATGGACTAAAGCACTTTACAGCTCATGTCTCTGGGGCTCCCTAGCTGTTCTAGGAGAAAGTTCCTCAAAAAAAATCCCTGCAACATTCAGTAGGTAACACTACAGTAAACTACTAGTAAACACAAGTTTACTAGGCTCAACAGCCTGTAGTTCTAAAGCCTTCTAAAGAGCTCTAGGGCTCTTTAGACACTTTGACATATGACAATTGGGTATCTGAGGCCAGATTCACTGGAAATTTAAGAGGTAGAAAAGGTCTCTTAGCAGAAGGTTATCTGCTCTGGTGGATCAGAGGAAAGACTGCTTTTGGCAAGCCCTGCCACCACAAAATCACTTATCAGAAGAGTTTCTCTACAGGAAGCCCCTTAAGTGATTTGAAATGAATATGGAGAGACAGACACCATGAGGAAGGAGAAGGATCTCCAACTACTACAAGGAAACATTAGAACAGCAGAAGAAATATGCTAGATGATGATCTGTGGTCAAAGATAATACAGTGATAAACAACTGGGCCTGCAGACAGCTGCTCATGTATTTTCATGAGGATGAAATGTGGGCAATGTACAGGGAGGGAGGAGCAGGGAATAAGGGAGGCTCCAGTTCTGCAGCAGAACAGAAGGTGCAAGGACATGAGCTGGAACAGACTGTACATGCACCAAAACCAGGCTCAGCAAGAGACAGAACTGTAAAAATTATACAGGAAAAAAAGTACAGAGAGGATGACCATGAGCGAAGGACACAGGTAAGCAAGGAAATAAGCTGCAGAGACTGGGAAAATTCAGAATAAATGAGATAAGCTAACTGACAAAAAAGGAATGGGAAGAAGGACCTAAAAATTTAAATAAGTTGGGATTGCTCTGTGTGCTAGAAGCAAGGCATGTTGAACCAGTAAGAAGGAATGTATTTGGGAAAGCAGCGAAACAAAAGTGACTTTTGGAACCATAACGATGGGACTTGCAACATCTCCTCTTCTATCCAGCAAAAATGAAACAAGGTCCTTCAAGCTTTGGAAGAAGAAAAAAACAACCAAACAACAACAGCAAAAAGAACAAACCCAAAACCACTTCACAGAAGCAGAATTCCTAGTGTCCACATGCAGCAGACATGAGACAAGAGATGAGGTCCTTTAGCTGGCCTGTCTCCTAGGCAAGGCTGTTTCCATACAAAGAAATAGGAATAACTCTTCTGGTTTTTAATCTTGCTAACATCCGTTTGTGATGATTTCTTTCGTCTAGAGTAACAGCACACCCTTTGGAATACCAACCTTCTCTCTAAAGTCAGGTGCATGTGGTGTAGCAGTCAGTGGACCATTTTGATAATCTGTGATTTGCTGTTACTGCCAGGGAGACAGTGGTGCCAAATTCTCAAATGATAGATAAGACTAACACAATTTGACCAAAAAATATTATTCTTCAAACAAACAACAACAAAGTTTGCATAAATTCTACCATAAGCTACTATTAGTAGTCATCAGATTCTAGAGGGCCTTTTGTGCAATTATCAGCTCATAAATACACGAATAGGTAGAAAGCAAACTAAAAAATTCCAGCTATAACTTTGACTTTCAAAAAGTAACCGCAGAGCCAAAAGAGTTCCGGATCAATTTGGTACTAAAAAATTCCGCGTACATTGATACTTCCAACAGTCACAAAAGATTTAATAATAATAATAATAATAAAAAAGATGCCAAGACAAAGGCCAGGTAAGTTTCTGTAAGGCCATTCTAACGGAAGTGTCACACAGCAACCCATGGCTGAGTCCTTTCAGCAGACATTGCTGCAGACGACAAAGGTATCTTCATCCCAAGAGAAAGGTTCCCAAGAGCACTGTGGTTTTATGAATCCTCTTCTGGTACCTTCTACTGCTCTCACATGCTGGCCGCTTGCTGAGGGGGGACCCCCGGGGTCGGCTGGCGAGGCAGGGTGTACATGGCCCCAAGGAACTGGTCTGCAATGCGACCTGCCTCTCGCAGCCCGCTCAGTAACGCACCATGAACGGTCGCAGGGTAGTTGCGAATTGTGTGTTCTCCCGCGAAAAACAGGCGGGGAATAGGCTGTGGAAGGGAACAGAAAACACAGCTAAGACAGCAAATAGATCTTCAAAGAACTTCAGAAGTCCTCTAATCATAAAGCAGTCTCCATAGCATGAAGCTGCTACATATAAAGTACAGTCCTTCTACCACAATTAGTTTTGTCTTACAACTTATCAAGAAAAGTTTTATATAGCTCTCATTTCACAGGAGCATTTCATGTTTGTAATGATTGAATGTGAGGAAATTCTTTCAAATACCACTGCTTTAAAACAAAGATAATAGAGCTCTGCTTTAGAAACAATACTTTCAAAACTAAATAGACACGAGAAGCCCATCAACTACATACTGAAAAAGCATTTGAATTCTGCATCTACAACACTTGAGAATTACAATAATGACAGAAGGGTTGAGATTGGAAGGGGCCGTCTGGAGATCCTCTGGTGCCAACCCTCCCTGCTCAAGCACGGTCACCTAGAGCAGGCTGCCCAGGAACACGGGCAGGTGACTTGAAAGCATCTCCCAAGATGGAGACTCCACCACCTCTCTGGGCAACCTGCTCCTGTCACTCCCACAGTAAAAAGGGACTTTTTCCTATCATTCAAACCAAACCTACCAATTCTGCATAAGGCCATTGTCTCATGTCTTGCAAAATTTCTGGATAGAAAACTGAATTCTTTTACAGGGGTTAATTACCCAAGTAATCTAAATCGTTGCTGTATATAAATGACTTCAGAAAAACATGACATTTTTCAGAAGTATTTCTATAAAGAATTCTGAGATTCTCTCACCTGTGGAGCACCTGGAATGGCTGGTCCAGGAGTAATTGGCTGAGCCATTAAGTCATAGTCATTTCCAGAAGATCCAGCTGCTACATAGGAGTACGATCCCCGGGCCCAAGGGTCAGCGCGCCAACGGGATACCACGGTCTCCTTGGGCTGAGACAAGACAGAAATGTCAGATGCTGATGTGCTGCAAGTTCTACTGTTTAGTGTGAAAAACAGAAGATGCAAACTGTAAGAACAGAGAACACAAAGTCCTTAAGCAAATGTGAACAATGGAACACCATATGGATACTCCACGGTAACAAATATTTGCCAAGGTACTGGTCACAGAATCCCACAGGATGGCTGAGGTTGGAAGGGACCTCTAGAGATGATCTCGTCCAACCCCATTGCTCAAGCAGGGACACCTGGAGCATATGAATATCTCCAGGGAAGAAGAATCCACAAGCTCTCTGAGCTCTAGTCCTCTATCGACTTTATAGCAAAGATATTTTTTTCTCAGATTCAGGCAAAACTTGAAACCTGTGTTTCATTCCGAGACCATTGCCTCTTGTCCTGTCGCTGAGTCCCACTTAAAAGTCTGGCCCCTCAGTCTTCTCCAGGCTAAAGTCCTGCTCTCAGCCTTTTTTCCTCATAGGAAAGATGCTCCAGGCCATTGATCATCCGCATAGGCCTACGCTGGACCCCCTCCAAGTATTTCCACATCTCTCTCGTAATGAGGAGCCCAGAACTGGACACAACACTCCAGATGGGGCATCACTAGGACTGAACAGTCACAGTTCACCTCCCTCAATCTGCTAGCAATGCTGTTCCTAATGCATCCCAGGAAACTATAAACAGAAGGGTCAGGGAAGGAGCTGCTGATTTATAAGAAAGGGAAGCCTGGAATTTCCTTCTCCAGCGTTCTGGAGCCCGGGAAGTAAAAATCAACTGACCAAGCACTTCAAAAAGAAGATATCCACTCAGCAAGAAATAATGCTTAATGTCAGTGGGGAGGATTTTCCCATCACATAAAAACCTCCAAGAGACTGAGGATGTTAAAGCCATATTCAGAGAGATCTAATACTATAGATGATAACAACAGTGAAAGGAATCTATTCTTCACACAAAGCACCAAACAAATAAACAGTCAAGGTTCAAGAAAAAAGGGAAGCCTGGAATTTCCTTCTCCAGCGTTCTGGAGCCCGGGAAGTAAAAATCAATTGACCAAGCACTTCAAAAAGAAGATATCCACTCATCAAGAAATAATGCTTAATGTCAGTGGGGAGGATTTTCCCATCATATAAAAACCTCCAACAGACTGAGGATGTTAAAGCCATGTTCAAAGAGATCTAATACTATAGATGATAATAACAGTGAAAGGAATCTATTCTTCACATAAAGCACCAAACAAATAAACAGTCTAGGTTAAAAAAAAAAAAAGAAAGAGAAAACTAGTATATTAAACTTATCACACACTTTTAGTTCTAATTTAGTATACCAAACCCCAGTGGATGAGAGCTTTGAGGAGTGCCACCCAAACGAGTGAGCTGCCCTGACCTGTGGCACCGCACTGCTGCCGAAGATGCCTTTGAGGATGGCAAGACACCGTCCAACAATGACGTCATCACTGATATTTTCCATGATCCCTGCTGCTTCTCCAGCTACTAAAGCCAACAAAATTGGTGCTAAGGAAGAAAAAGAGGAAATGAATTACTGAGAGCTAGCACTTTAGTAATATATACATTTAAATCAAACTTTAAGTAAGCAAGCACAGAGCTCTGCAACTCGGTCACCTAACAGAATCCAAACAGGTCCTGACCTGACCTCTCAAGTATGTAACCATCATGGTGAGGCCCTAGACTTTTGCGAGTCCCACAAAAGGGCCCATCTGTTGTTATCAGTTCATCCCAGATTACACAGGCAGCCCTATGAAATACAGGAGTATTCTCCCCCTGCCAGTTCAATTGGAAAGACATTCAGAAAGTTGAGGCTTTCAAAGCTAAGTAACTAATTGGATGCCAAAATCCCATTCCACGACAGATTACATGAAAGAAGGGAAGAACTCAAAAAGGGTTGTAAGTAGTCGAAGAGAAACTATATCTCAAAGTGACTGACAGAGTAACTAAGCAAATGTTTTCAATTCATAAATATTGCAAAAGTGTATCAACTTCTTCTAGGAGGACATTCAATGCTTGAGTTTGAGAGTGTTTCCTTACCTAGCTGTGCTGGTACACAGAGCAGGAAAAAAACAAAAAACAAAAACACAACCCACAAAACAGAAAGCCTACAACCAAATTGCTGTTTAATAAAAGAAACCAAGATAATCGAGTAAGACACAGAACAGTTTCACCAAGATATAAGTATATAAAGTATCCTACAATAATTAAAATTGTATTTTTGAAAGAAATGTGATTCAGAGAGTGCCTCCAATTCAACTTTAGCAAACCTGCACTCTTCGACGTTCAATCCTAATTTACTGATGCTCTCTGCATCCATGTGACCTCCTATAAAGTATCAACTTTTTACAATATCCAGATGTTTCAAAATATCCAGATCCAGCAATACAAGTGTGTTAAGCAGCTCTCTCTTCTAATTCCAAAATAACAAAAATAGGAGGGCATCAGCAAAACTACACATGCAGCACATTTACCTTTGTACAGGTTCCAAAACAGGAACAGCTCTCCTCTGCTCGCAGTAGTGCTACCAACATGACCAAATAAATTGACGCTTGGATCCCAGAAGACACGATCAAAACACAACACAACCTAGAAATAAAAAGAATTAAGAGTCAGGAAAAGTAAAACAAACAAACAAACAAAATAAAAACCAAAAAAAACAACACCCAAAGATAATTATACTCCAGAAGTTTTCAGCACTGAAAACTGAAATACTGCCTTTCATAGATAAATATCCTCTTGCAGTTTGTAAATTTGCTAGTTAAGCTACAGCATACTTATCAATTCAATCTGCTCATTATTTAAAAACTACATAGGACAGAGGAGAATCCCTTATAGCTCTTTGGATATTTTTTACCAAAAAAATCTTGCAAAACAGGAGTGGGAGAAACATTTCTCTTCTTTTCAACCACCATATACATCTCAGATTCTACTTATTAGCCTGCTGCAGTTCCCCCAATGACCATGTCACCTTGTTAAGGTTGCCGAATCCCATCCGTTGCACTGCAGAAGTTTTCCACTCGGGAAGGGGTGGCACAAACTGTACAGCTGGTGGCTGCTGTTTCAGGACTCCCAAGGGAAGAGTACACAGCACAGCATCACATTTATAAATAAAAGTTTGGCTGGTAGAGCGGGTATTAACAGCGATCACCTCACAGCCTGGTAAAAGGAGAGGGAAAAAAGCATTTAATAAGCTAGGGAGATAAGTGACCTTGTAAAAGGCCACTGCCAAACAGCATTGGATTAAAAAATGAAATAAATTATTGTTAAATGTAGTCACAAGAGAAAACCTTACACAAGCAATGACTTAACTTCTAGGCAAGTTGGCCACACAGCATCGACAAATGGCCTCTGTGGAATAAGCCTAGAGGTTCACCTACACCAGGAGTGGTATTTACACAGATGCAGAGCTAAAAAGCAAGTAAAGACTGAGCCTTGCACTGAGTTACCCTCCCAGTTCAGTCTCCTGAGCCTGAGCTTCCTGTTCTGAAGAGCAGCGAAAGGACATAACTCCTTACATCTGTTTGGTTCCATCTTACATACATTAATACTTTCAACACAAAATCCTGTGGCAACATGTTCTAGACTTCTATTGTGTGATGAGAGGGGAAAAAAAAAAATCAAAACAAAACCACCACCAACAAAAAGAGGTTTCTCCATATATGGAGCTTGAGCTGCAAGAGTCCCACAGCTTCTCACACCAATTCCCCTTAGCTCCATCACTCCCCTGGGACTTCCAGGTTTGCAGCTGAGGCACCAAGAGCTGCGAAGGACACAACGCCCTGCACAGACAATGTGTGTTGGCTGTGGGGAAGGGACATGTGTTCAACCTTCTCCACTCTTGGCAGAGTCTTCTCTTCTACAGATCAGCAGGCTGTTCGGTTGCTGACTTCCTGAAACTGTTCTCAAAGTTTAGTGCATTTTTTCAACACCAATCCAAATTTACTTTCAATTTCCTCAACTGATCTGCTTACACTAGATATCGCCATGTCTCAACCAATGGTCAGGACTCCTTTGAGCCAGACACACACCCAAGCAAAACCATCTTTGCAGTCCTTCTCCCATTCCCATCCTGACTTTTCTAACACTGTAAGACAATTTGCTACAAAAAGCAGACATAATCTCAAGTAAAATATGCTAGTGTGGACATATGTCTGTGCATAAACAATTAAGGCAAAGAGGGTGGAGATACCCAAACAACTCTGCCCTACAGCAACATAACCCCCCACAATGCTTTCATTTTAACTTGATTGCAATTTGGGATAAACATTAAAGAAGGTGAATTACAAAAAACACAATGTCTTAAAAGAATTGCATTGCACTTCCTCGACCTGACCTCCGAAGTAAAAACATAGATAATCAGCAGCAGCCTGTTGGCAGAAGCCAATGTCTATGGATTAGTTTCACAGGAAATATCAGAAAAGAGTCACTCCTCAAGAGCAGTATCTAGACAATGCTAAGTGACAGTGCTTAGGATACTAACCCATGCAAAGAAGAAAGTCTGTGGACCCTCCTGAATTAAATATTTATTGTACTAGACCTTGTGATCTTACCTCACTGCTCCTACATTCCATTTTTTGTAAGTCCTTAGAATAAATCTCTTGAGAGACCCCTATGAAGGTCATTTTGATAAAGAAGGTAAATTTTTTTTGTTTGTTTGTTTTTATGATGGGGGAGTTTTACTGGATGAAACTTTGCATTTGGTTCCAGAATCACTGAAATCTGCTTTCTATGGTCACGCTCCCTCAGAGTTGTTTTCAGCTGTAGGTTTCATTTACCTGAAGCTGTGTAGCGAACCTGTCGCACCGCTGTATTTAATTTAATGTCCAAGCCTTCTGCCAAGGCTACAGGCACACACGAGTATCCGTTCCTCACGGTCAGGTGACTGCCTGTGAATTCAAAGTCATCATCCTAAAGAAGAAGACGCAAAGAAATGATTCATTCAGTATCAAATTATCAGCAATTTTGCACAGTTACAAATTAGGAAAAAAAAAAAGAAAGAAAGAAAGAAAAATAATTTCAAGGGAGTGAGCCAAAAATATTTGAAACTCCTTCTGTTATTAGTCAAGTATCAGTACAGAAAATTTCAGGATAGGTATTAAAAGAGACTATTTTGACATCAAAAACTGCTGGGAATTCCATCCCCAAACAAAGATCATTTAAGATTTTTTGGTATCTCCACAGAAATAGGTATTATTTAGATTTTAGAAATTGGTAACATACAGAAAATTCCATGAGAATGAAATAAACAGAACATAAACTTTTAATATATTGCTGAAAATTAGCTACCTGGTCCCAGTGCTTCAGTGAAAGTGTAGATAGGGGTGTAGCATTAGCAAATTCCAGGTTGGCAAAATGCCAGTCAAGTATTTGCCTGTCTCTGGATGACAGATAAACATCACTAGAAAAAATGTAACAGAAAAAAACATTTAGTTTGCAAATGCATTGCTTTTAAAAAACATTAACAATCTCTTATTTCATTCCCTCCATAGTAAAGAGGTTAAAAGCATCAACACAAAGGGCTTTGGCTTTAAACTTTGGTGCATAAGCCAGGACAGCTGCCGAGAGCAGCTCTGCAGCCACTAACAGCACCAGGACACTGAGCAGTGGCAGCGGCCCAGGCTGAGCACCCTGCAGGGCAGCACCCGTGGGGCCTGCACCGAGACGTAACCGCGTGCGTTGGGTAAGGTATGGAGCGAGCCCGCTGCAAGCCGGGGAAGCCAGGACAAGGACGCATGTGAAAGAATACTAGCAAATATTTATAATGAAAAAATACACAGTTTTACTCTTAGCTATGGAATCCTAAATAAAACAATCATTTAAACCTAAAAGGATATATGAAGGAACACCATATTCCCAAACTGAGGCTCTAAGAAAGAAAGAAAACAAGCGATGTGCAGAGGGAATGTGCAGAAGTATTCACAGGACACAAATTGGACCTCTTTTAGTTTTTCAGCACACCTTTTTCTGGCAGGATTTTCAAATCTCAAAGGCATCCTGAGATCAGATATTAATGACATTGAGGGCTATTACTATAAGGCATCCTAACAGAGAACTACATTTTGTGCACAAGTCTTCTCCAAATCCAAGAAATATGAATTCCAAAACTAAGAAAGTGCAAACTTCATGAATTAACCTATTTTATGAATAACCATAAGAAAGCATACCATAGCATCTCTGAAACCCAATAAAAAAAGTTTTAAAAGTTTAAAAAAAAAAAAAAACCCACACAGTATTCATTTTTACAGATTGTATTTTTACCTTGGTGGATTGGCTTCAAGTTCTTGAAGTTTCTCTTCCAGCTTTCCTTGTGTTTCTGCCAATTCATCATACTCCTGATAAGATTAGAAACCAATATGAGAATCAGTTCATTCTGAAATGCATTTAATGGCATCATGTAGACTCAGGCCGGCTCCAATCCTCTGTAAAATCAGTGGAAGATGCACGGGCTTTCCGTGACACCTAAATCATGCTCTTTGGTTTTCAAAATCTAATCCAGCATACTTAGCACTCCTGCTGTTCATTTATCCAGAAGTGTATGCCATACTGCAAAGGATTAGTATGCTAATATTTCAGGAAACTAAACGGCAAAGGCTGAAGAACATAAAGATTCAATACAATTCTGGTATTTAAAGGGTTGCCATAACACTGCACAAAACATGTTTCTACTTCTTGTATCAAAGGGTTCTCACAGATTTTTACAAAGGCAGGCAAAGGCAGGCTTCTTTGCCAAAGAAGCAGGCATGCATAAGACAACAAAAACATGACCTAATTCAAACGCGCTTAAGAGATTTAAGAACAACAAAAAAAAGGTAGAATTTATATTTATTTATATATATATATATATGTTTATATATATGCAACAAACATTTTCTTTGAAGGCAGAATAATTCGATTTGATGAGTGCCCACAATAGAAACAAAAGCATAAAGCTGTTTTCAGGTAGCTATATAGAAAAGCTACTGCTTTGAAGCATATCACATATCGAGATTTCATAAGACCAAATTATAAACGGTTATTTAAGTCTATGCAAAACACCTAAGACCCAAACACACAAGAAATTCCAGTCACTATATGGAAAGGGAGAGGGAGGCAGGGGAAGAGGTGAGATTTTTTACTATCTTTAAAACACTTCTTGGTACTATATGCAACAGTAATTTTTTGTTGTTGTTAAAGGCTACAGACAGAAACATTGTTTGCATTAAAATTCCACAAGTTGGTTTTGGTTTTGGCTTCACTTTTTTGATAGTGAAGAGGGAAGAAAAAAAAAATGCTCCATTTTACTGTAATAATATTTTTGCCATTAATGTTAATACTTCCTATTTTGAAGGCATAAATGAAATCATTTAAAAGCCCCTTGCTAGGGCCATTTTGTGCATCCCAGAACAAACAAAGCTTTTTTTACTTCTAGTTTCTTGAGAAGAGATTTATCTGCCTATTGCTATGCCATATGATCTCCACATCCAACTATAAAAATGGGATTCCTCAGCTAAATCTTGTCATCTGCCTTGTTCTTAAGGGAGATGAACAAGCCTCACTCAGTCACGGTAAGTCAAGGTAGGTACACAGGCAAACACCTAAGCAGCAGGACAAATGCCTCTAACTCAGGAGTCTGGAATTTATCATTAGTAAAAGTAGGTGAGATGAATCCTATTTAAATGTCTGTGTTATATAACAATGCTTTTAAGCAAGTGACAACATCCTTAACTTTATGCAGTCTTGTCCCTTACTGTTCATCCATTATACTGTTACTTCCACAGAAACAAACCACTCAATCCAGATTTCTGGATGCAGAGTCAAGAACTAAGTTTCTCTGGTGACAACAGACTGAAGGATGATCCAGTGATCAAAGGATAGGTAATTAGTACTAATACTGGTTAGTATTTTTATTGATACTATTAAAGATTCTTATTTTAAGGACAACTCTAAGGATACTGATCAATTATACTTTCTCAGAATAGGATAATGTGCCATCTTACTTTAATTTTGCCTTTTCACATAGCTAACATGGCTAAAAACTAAAAAAGCTGGAAGACCAGCATGAGGGCAAACTATACTAGAAGGTAATTGGAAGTCTGTTTTGTGAATACACCTAATAGATATATACACCAGGTACATACACATCAGGGGTTACAGATGAAGTCAGACTAGCGTCAGGCTCACTGCTGCTTTTAAAAACTGAGACTCTTTTTCAGATTTCTTTCCTCACTAAGTCTATCTTCTTCTCTTTGGAAGCATGGCAAAGAAAGATAGAAGTCTTCTTTCAGTTTATTTCATTATGAGAAGCTGGATCCCATCTAGGACCTAGCCAAGAGGGAAAACAAAATAAACACATATTCCAGTCCAGTAAGATGACAGACCTGGCAACACATATTATTTAATGGCAAGTGAGCAAGAAAAGAGAGGAAGCATTTCTAAAAGCTCAGTACATAGTCATGGAGTAGCCAAAACTTTTTTTTGGTTTCCAAACAAATAAAGTATTTTCTGATATACCAGTAATTTAAAAAGCCTGACCAGGACAGCTTTCATGATTATAGAAAAAAAAGTTTTAAAAATTTCCTTAATGCATTCATATAAGCAATTAGAGTCACACTAATTCTGCTCATCACAACTGTCCCTTTGGAGAGACAGAATTTTACTCCGCAAAACATCATTTCCGGCTTAGAGGAGCAAGATGTTCTTTAAATACTGATTCTATTTAAAGACTACTGTGAGATTTCACAGTTAATGAATTATGACCTAAAATATACCCTAAAACGTATCATGTGAATATAACTTTCATTATGGGAATGCTCTCTCATGTGAGCTGCTAAGGACAGGACCCTCAGGTATTTAAACACTGTCATCATTATTACAACCCAAAAGCTACCACCTATCACGTTCTCTACAAATATTATTTCAGAGAGAGAGTTTCTGGAAACATTTATATTGGCATTTCTGTTTGGCTGCTCAGAGCTTCAGAGACCATTGATTAAGTGTTGCATACATGCCACCATTTACCTTGCAAAGTGCAGTCAGATCTCTATGCTTGCTTTTCACGAGGAACTCTGCTGTAATATCCCGGGGTGGTTTCACTTCTGATGCTTCCTTGTACTGTTGATGGAGTTCTTTAATCTTCTCTTTTAAATTCACCATCTTTTTTTAGGAGAAGGAATAGGAGAAGGGAGAAAGGCAGGGAGGAGACAAATTTCATTTAAGTAAAATGGATATTCATCTCAAATCATACTACTAACACCAAAGAGACTCCCTCTGTTCATCAGGTATTACTAATATGCAGATTTACCTCTAAAATTCCAATAAATGTTACCAGCACCCTAATAATATAACTCATCTCCAACACACCATTGATTTTTTCACAAAACTCTGAAAATAGCTTTTCCTCTTCACATACAGGGACCAAGTCCTTGCAAGAAGTAAACTCCTGTGATGAGTTGTAAAATCTCCACTTATATAAATTCCTTTCTAAGCATATTTTGCAATGCTACTTGCATCATAAAACATTAAATACTTTCTACTTTCTCTAATCGGGGGAGAGAAAAAGGTTCTCTGAGGTTAGAAAAGTAGCATCAATGAAGACAATTCTTTGGGACTTTTAGGCCTCAAATGAGCAAAGATTTTTTAGAGCAAAATTAATGGCAGCATTCTTGTCTTTTTCTGTGAAAGTGTTTGTACGTTTTGCAACTATTGGAAGGGAACAACGTTAACCTCTTCTTCTGGGTGTTATCATTAGACAAGACCTGACCTTGTTAAGAAGATCCTTCAGCTCCTCCTGCGTTTTCACAATCTTTTTCCAGTGTTCAATCTGCTCATCCTTCACGTGTTTCTCCTGCAATCTGGAAGAGGCAAGAAGTTAAGAGTCAGTTTCATCATAAAATCCTAGCAGAATTAAGAAACCTCATTACTTTCATCGAGGGAATTGTTTCAGTAATTTTTTCAGATTCTTTTTCAAAGTTATTCCAAAAACAAACACAGGAAACTCTACCATGAAGAGTAAAAAACACTTACTGTATGACAACCTCCAAAGCCTGACCTAGGGAGACAGGTTTATTATTGAGAACATTAAAATCCAGCTGATGACTGAGGTAGGAGGTAGCTTCCAACAGACGATTGAATTCTTGCTCCACCATTTCATCCTTCTCTTTTGGAACCTAGAAGTCAAAAGAGCAAACTTGCTTCTTAAAATCTTATTCATAAAGAAAAGAGAAAAATCACCAAAGCTTAGAACCTCAGCGACAAGACACTGGAGTAGTGGAGAAGAAGTTTTAAAGAAAATCAGAGCAATGACATAGATTACCTTCCTTTAGGAAGTCTCAATGCAAAGCAATACCTGGTAACTAAAACTCTGAATGCAAAGAGCAAGGAGCAGCAGATGCATTCTTACCTAGCACTTGTAAGAATCACTTGTCCTAAACTATGAAGACACTTCAAAAGCGCTTCAGTGAAAAAAAGCAGCTGAGAACTAGCACTTGCAAAAAGAGATTTAACATTCTTGGCACTCTCAAATGGCCAGACACCAAAGCCTGTACAACACAAAGGCATTTTGCCAGGAGGTCTAACCGAAGAAAAGGAAGACAGACGTGCTGTCAGACCACGGGCACAATGAGCCAATTCCCCTTTCGTGAGGGAAGCAGATAAATTTATGGCCCAAACAAAGACTTCATTATGGGAAGATGACTTCAGCAAAGCTTCCAGAACGTTGTCTGTAGGCAGAAAAAATGACCCCAGCCACAACGGCTTAAAAGACTTGGCATAACTCAACGAAGCAGACAGGAAAGAGCTTATCTTTGAGAGCAGTCAGCATGACTGAACTTCCCCACACCCTCAGTGCTTCCAGGATGAGGGAGGAAGTTCCTTTACAGGTTACTTCCAGAACGCCGTTATTGACTGTATTGAAGACATTTAAGAACTCTCTGCCACTGCCTGTGTGAAAACATCTGTTCTGAGAGAAGCAGCAGACAGCTGGTTCAGAGAGGAGTGAGAAAACTGCCTCGTGACAGAAGTAATACACCTGGAAGCCAGGCTGCCACTTGCTCTTTCCCCCCACCCCACTAAAAACAACAACAAAACAAAAACAAAAACAGCCCAACACTCTCAAAGCTGAAGTTAAGATTGAAGTTAAGAATTCATGTGGAAAAATAAAATAAAATAAATAAATAAAAACAGATTTTAGAAGGTTTTAGAAGACTTAGCACAATTCTGCTGAAATATTACTACACTGACTGAAAGTGGGCATACACTTTCCCCTTTCATGGTAGTTCTCATAATAGATTAACAAGCTGGTAACAAATACTGCTTTTAAGAGGTTTAAGAAAAAACTGTATCTGGAGTATTAGACTTACAGCTTGTCCATTTGCTTCATAAAGTGGGCATTTTTGCTTGATCTTAGCCAGTTCCATGTTTACTTGCTTGCTGACCACAGCCATGGGATTCCCACCTAGAATAACATTTTGTATAATTGAATATTCTTGTAAAGTTTGCCTGCGATTAATATCAAAATTCCACAGCAAGAACTATTCAAAGACGGTAAACATATTAACTTCAGTATGAAACACATTCAAGCGAAGTGGTACAAGATTATCTAAGGTTTACTTTCTCAGCAATTTTTTCCAACAACGCCATGAAAAGAATCCCTGCTCACAAATACTTCAAGGGCACTATGTAAAAAGTGGGGATTATAAAGGCAGAGTCCTAACGTGGCAGCAACCTCAGCAGGATTGAGATTTAGTTTATAGTTATAAATATGTTGTCAAAAGGTTTAAGAGCAGAGTGTCTGAAGAGCCAAGGAAAGTTCCCACAGCTGCAGAATAACTTTGAGAGCTCTTGTTCAAAGTATGATGACATGGAGATGGATCCTTAGGAATTTTAAGCCTTTAAAAATTTAGGAAAACTTGAGCAAGTGACTCTAGTGAATATGATATATAAAGAAAAAACATGTAGGACATGGAAAATACATAATTAAGCAGATTAAAACCCATAAAAAAATCCATGTAGAAACATGAGAAAGGCACCAACAATTCCAGAAACAGGAAGTAAATACACTAAAAAAAGCATTTCTGTTAATGACAGGAAAGAAAAAGACCAGACAAATGGGAAAGTACTTCCTGAGCTACAAATATTTGAAGGAGAGGTATCGCACATTTTCCTTACAAAAACAACTTTGGGAAAATTTTTTAGGATCTAGCTTAGGGATTCTCATTCTGAAATACAATAAAACCAGACCTTTAGTTCACAATACAGGGGAAAGTTCAGCCTACTGGACAAGCAGCACAGCCTTTGAAGGAGGTCCAAGCAGGTTCAAGTGTTTCAAATTTTACAACCTAGATGGTATAGGCCAACTAAATTTATTTCCCCACAATTCACTTGCAAAAGAAAACTGACAAAAACAGGAAATAGTGTTAAGTAATTTAATTAAGAATTTTAATATATGCGATAAAAAATATACGGGATGTCATGCTTTTTTTGAAATCCTTTAGAGAAAGGACTTTCAGGTTCAAACCTTGACTTTATCAGGGCTTTCCCTTTAGAATGGGGCTCTTCATTCCTCTCTTTTTGTGTAAATATAAAAAGCATATCCCATCTCCTTGGCATTTCTCCCATCTTTTAACCCAGCTGTCTCCTCTTTGCTACTATACTAACATGTCACTACTACTTATCTCTCTATATTCAATTGCAGCTCAAAAATACTTTGCAAGGTTCAAGAAATCAACTAAGTGTTAAATACCAACTCACTTCTCAGACTTGAGATCAAACTACAAGGTCAGTTTTAGATAGTTAAAAGTGTCAATTACCTTCCCTGTGAAAGGAAATGGCCTAAGATTTCAGACTTGTAATAGCTGGACCCACAAATTTCTTCCCCCTTCCTTTTTATTTGGGACAACTCACCAAGTCCTGTTACCACCATGGCTCCCAGATCAGCAACATAGTTCCCTTTGCGAAACGTAGCAACTCTTCCTCCTACCCGGTCCTTTGGAAAGCACAGGCAGTTAGAAGCAGCATTCAGCAATACAGCTCACGTAAGCCACCACTGAAAAGCTTCTACAGAACATGGATAAGTATCCTCATAGTCAGAGGTCTGATAAACAGAATGTAAACTTTTCTTACTGCTGCTGAAAATGAGCACCAGGCTCATTATTCACATAAGAAAGACTAAAATGTTTAAGTTGCATTAAAAAAAATGCTGCCTAAAGTGATGTGGAAGAGATCTAAATATACCTACCGCAGGATCTACTGTGATTCAAACAACTACCCTTTACTGACCAGACAGTTTATATTTTAGATTTACTCTTTCCACTTTCTACAACAATTCCAATAGCTATACTGGAAATGATTCAAATCAAGCGTTGCAAAACCAAAGTTTTTGTGTTCAAAAGATCAATCAACTTTTCCTTCTTTAATCTCCAAAAATGAGTCAGAATAAGAACTAAAGAAATGGCTCATTTTAGGAGCAGGAAAAAAGGTTTGATTCCTGATACATACTACTAACATTTAATGATCTTTTAAAGGTTAAAATGGTAAGAAAAAGATATGCCCTTCTTCCCCTATTTTCAATCCAGATAGGAGGATGGTATCTGAGTGAAATACCAAAAAAAAAAAAAAAAAAAAAAAGATAAATTTAAGTTACGAAGCTAAGTCCTAACTTAAATACTCAGTGGATTTATTTGAGTACCAAGAAGTCTTTAATGAATAAAATTATTTTAAAAAAATAACACCCATAAATTTAAAGAGAAAGTTTGCTTATTGGGAAAGTAGTAGTATCTTAATAATGGGAAATCATCACCTATTTCACGAAATTACCTATATCTCTTTAAAGATATGTTAAGAACACAGTAATAAACATGGACAAAAAATACAGACTGTTAAAAGGTGCTTGACAATATATTCTACTTCTCAGTGAAAACACAGTTCCTAACCATGAAAAGGAGATTCTAGCATATGACTGGTGTGAGCACACAGTCGTCCTCTGTCAAAGTATTAGCCAAATAGTGATGCAAAGAGACACAGATTTACATGAGGAAGGTTCAGCCACCCAGCAACATGTTCTATTTTGCGGTGACTAGACAACAATCTAATCGTGTTCTGGCATGCTGTCGGGATACTCAGTCTTACCCTGGCATTGAATACAGCTACCAGTTAAGTTGACACAAAGAAGAGAGCACAGAAGGTCCATACCCTGGCTTCCAGCACTGTGACATCCATCCCAAAACTCTGCAACTGACGAGCTGCTGCCAAGCCAGACACTCCAGATCCTATAATGATCACCTTTCCAGTCTTCTTGGCTAAGGGAAACAGGAGCAGCAAACAAAAAACACACGCACGTTATAAACTATGTATGTGCATTACTACAATTTAAGGAGTTAAGTTTAAACTGAATCTGAAGAGATAAACAATGAAAAGTAGCTTCCTTCTCATCATGAAGCTGAAAAAACAAACTTAAAAGAAATAGCTACAAGAAGGCTATTTTAAATAAATATGCACATAGTATGGTAACAGCAAATCACTTCGACAATATTTTTTAGTTAACACAGGTATAAGGAAAATGGGTGAGAAGCTCATCTGTGACAAGGAAGAAAACAGGAGAAAAAAAACTTCTGCAGAATAATTATTTTTGAAGAAGCCAATCCTCCTTAATTACTGTGGGACATAGTTTTATTATAGTTTTTATTTCCTGCCGCCTCAAAAGGATGAAACCTTGAAAGCTTCGGAGTTGGATCAAGGTATTCCTCAGTACTATTCATTCATCAGCATCTCTAAATGCTGCAGGGACACTGAGATAGGGGAACTTTAACAGACTTAGGAAGCTTCTGTTCCTTTAATTTAGTAATTATAAGGTGCATAAAGTTTTACATAACCACTTTTAATGTTATCTAAATCCTTTTTAGTCAGGAAAAACTAACTTTATGAGTATCATTTGAGTATTCATTTGGCACCTGACAATGACCACTCAGCTTTATGGAGCTTTACACACACTCTCTAAGAAGAAACTGAAAACAAACAAACAAACAACACTTAAATTGCTCAATACCAAATTAGGGAGAAACAGACTCACAAAACAGTCTCCAAAGAGGAGCAATGACCAACACCTTGAAAATTGGTCCTCTAAGTCCCTATCTACAAAAAAAAAAAAAAAAAGCTTTTGATTTATATTCAAGTTATCTATAAAATCTTAAACAGGCAAGACAGACACCAGGACTGGGACTGCACTACAGACACCTTCAGTGCAGTGCAGAAAACTCTTAAGATTGTTAAACTTTCCCTATTTCAGTGTCCCTGAGAGGCCCTACAAGAGATTGCCGAGTTCACATGGATCCAAACTGACAGCTCTGAAGGACCCACACTGACTACATTTCCTCAAAAAGGGCTACCTTAAATAGCCCAAAGTTTCCAAGGAAAACCATCTGCATTGTTTGTGTTTCTCCTCTGCACTGTCTGCAGAGGTGACATTTTGATTTTCAAGGAAACTGCCATTGTGAACCAACAGCAGAAAAAACTCACCAATACTGAATGTGTTTCTGGAATGCAAAGAACAAACTGTTCTTTTTATCCCACATTCACGGAATGTGGAAAAGCAGGTCTAATGCTTACCATGGGGACAAACAGGCCAGTTTGGATTTCATGCACTGAATGAATGCAAAACACTGAGTTAATGTAAGAATTGTATCACAGCAGTTGTTTATGCACAGTATTTTTTTTCCTCACCCACTTCTTCACTGGACCTAAAGACAGACAAGCTCAACAGCTGTAATATTCAATGAATTAAGTGCAGTATGGTGAGTTTTTTTTTTTTTTTTTTAAATCTTCAATTATTCTAATAAGCAACAAGGATAATCTGTTAATCAGTGACAGCTACTGAACTATCTACAGATGATCTTCAAATGTTTCCACTAATTTACATCGGGACTGAAAGGCATGGCCCCCATCCCAAAATGCTAAATGAACCCCTAGCTAAGTGCCCTTCTAGCCTTTACTATTGGCCCAGTACTGTAATGCAAAATTAGAAACAATTTTCAACATTCTTACTTGGAAGGGGCTTCACTCTTTTGTAGATACCAAAGTTGATTAGACCATGTCTCTCTAGATAGCTGTGTACTCTGTGAACTAGCACCGTATCACCTAAAAAAAAAAAAGTATTATTTTTAATTGCTCTGTGAGGCAGCACATGACTATTGAAAACATTCACAAGCGAATGCGACACAGCAGTACCACAAAGTCACCTGGAAGGCATCCCCCTTTCCACTCCTAGCATTCTTCCCTGACTGAAGGATCCAACTTCCTGAAGAAGGCTGAGGATAAAATTTTCTGAAAATCACCAGCTCTTTGCTATCCTAGAGTTTTAAGCAATATGAGGCATTATACACTTCTACTTGTCCACTGTGGAAAAGCATCTAATTTGAATTTTGACTAGAAATTTGTCAATCTAACCCCAGAACTGCAATGTCTATTTGTCAGTGTTGACCCATTAGTCGAGTACTGACTCTCCCTCTTTATTTTTTTTTATTGTTCCTTTTTTGTTTGTTTTTTAATAACTTTCACTATATGACAATATTCAAGTGCTCTCATTTCAGTGACAGGTTCCTTTTCTGATCACTTTTGCCCTTTCCATCTCTTTCCAATCGGAGGCTTTTTTCAGAAGACTGAAAATTCTGTCTTTGCAGGCTTTAACACCTCACTCTTATATTGCCTTTACTCATGGCCACTCTCTTCAAGACTTACGCAGCTTTTCAATGTAGCCCAGAAACCTTATGAAACTCTCAACTGCAAGCAAGGTGGGCTCAAATCTTAAAAAGATATATATGGCAACATTTTACACCCAAACATGAAGTTCCACCAACACAAGGACCAAAATCTCTCTCGACTTTGAACAACTTTTGTTCCAGCTGAAACTGAAAAAGAATAGGAATGAAAAGTACAGCATTGTATCATTTTAGCAGTGAAATAGTTAACTTACTATTATAAGGTGCTTCCAACTGTTGGATAGTTGCCTCAAACGTCAACTGAATCTTTGGGTTATCCAACCAAAGTTGCAGCTGCATTTAAACAAACAATGATACATGTGTATCCATCAATATAGAAAGGAGTTTTTCATGCACTTGCTTGTTATCAAATACTGTTAGGAGATGAAACTCTGCAACAAGTTAAACTTTCTGCAGTGCTATCCAACCTGTATTAACTATGGTTTTACCTCAAGGAATAACAGATACAAAATGGAAGTGCCAGAAGGCTTGCATGCACAGTTTTCCTCTCATGTGCATGGTGCACCTGCTGTTTTAGTTGGGTATTTTACACCAAGTGACTTGGCAGTAGCAAATTTAAGTTGTTTTTGTAAAAGCCACAGCAGTACACACTATCTGAAATGTATTTATCTTAGACCGTTAATCATGTAATTAATCTTCACTGAAATAAGAGACTAACACTGAATACATTGGCCACTGACAAAGAGAGACTCACAGAATGGTTGAGGGTAGAAGGGACCTCTAGGGATCATCCAGTCCACCCCCTGCTCCAGCAGGGACACCCAGAGCAGGGGCACAGGGTGACATCCAGGCGGGTTGGAGATCTCCAGAGAAGGAGCCTCCACAGCCTCTCTGGGCAGCCTGTGCCAGGGCCCTGGCACCCTCACAGGAAAGAAGTTCTTCCTCACATGGAGGTGGAACTGCCTGGGTTTTAATTTATACCCATTGCCCCTGTCACTGGCCACCCCCAAGAAGAGCTAGAAATAATTGCTATCTACAATTTTAATTATGCCATTTCATACCAGAAGGAATCACAGAATGGCAGAATCAGAAGTTTCCCCCATCACAGTTCCTACATTATCATATAGAAGGTGATAGTAAACATTATTTTACTGCTCAATGCCTAGCTCTAGGCCTAGTTGTTCTATCTATTCTAGATAGCATCCAAATATTACGGAAATAATAATATTCAGAGGCAAATCCTTTTTTAAAAATTATTTTAAAGTGTGTAACCAGACACTTCATAGTACTATTTACCATAACTCTAAGACTTCATTTCAACTGGAAGAATGCAAAGCCCATAATCTCTACTTTACATATAAAGCTCTCTCCGTATTTATACCTAATTACTTTTTCTTATTTGCATCAGTCAGATTTAAAACTAGTTTCATAATTTACATCACCCACTTAACTGATAAGATTCCTCAATATCTTTTTGCAGATACTTAAAAGCAATTGAGTATCTGCAGCAAGTCTACTACACTACAGGTTCTGGTTCAGAAGTGCAGCCTTCCAACACGCCCTGCAGTGCAATATCAGATCATTCATCCAAAATCTACTGCATAATTCTGAAGAACCACTATTTTAACCACGAATAATTTAGATTCTCTGAGACTTGATCAAGAGAATTTGCTAGGATTTGGTTTGCCTCCCCTCCCTCTTATTTTGGTTTTTTTTTTTTTTTTAACATCCAAGACAAACACGTGCACTGTATATTTCATCCTTCCACATTCTTAATGGCTCCTTCAAAAGACTCCAACAGATTCTATGCATGACGTCCCATTTTATAAGCCACAGTGACCCTTTCAAAATACGCTTTCCTTTTGCAGTCATTCACTCAAATCTTGACTACATTAGCTACCAGATAAATTGGTGAAAATATCTTAGTAGTCAGATACTGACCAGCTGTATCTCCTCGAATCTCTTCCCACTCTCTAAAACCTCCTGCCTACTCAGTATTTTCAAATTCCTCAGTGTTGTGTCAGCTATAGGTGAGATTACACAGGCAGTTCACAGTTTTCAGAGCTCTGCTTACCACTATGGATTATTCAGTCCCTTTTATGTTGCACTACAACCTCTTCTATCCTGACTGGAAGGAATCATTTCACAAATATTCTTTGGAAAAGTATGCGTTTTTAGGAAAGTCCAAATTATTTAGGAAAGTTCAAATGATTCCTTTAAAATCTAGTCATTTATTCGATGCATAGACTCAATGGAAGGGCTTTCTGCTTCTGTTGTGTTCGCAAAATGATTAGTTGTTATACTTTTACGTAAACTATTACTTATTTATTGACTTTTCTTGGTCATTTGTTCTATACTAGTGGAAGGGAGATTATTCTGCTGAAATTTTCTTCTGAGAAAATCCATGTCTCATGACATCTCAAAAGTTATAGCTAAGGTTAACTGAAGGGAACTTTAACAGGAATAGCAAAAGTCACATTCCTAGCGTGAAGATCTCCACCATCATAAATTTTGATTTAGCTCTGTAAAGCACTGGAGCACTACCCCACTGTAAATGCTCATTATCATCTTATTCTTGTGAAAGTGGGGTGGACAGGGGAAAAAAACATTCCACACTTTAATGGTCTGGAATAGCCAGTCTTCCAAAGAGCTTCAGCCTAAGGCTAGTTCCTGTCACCCAGTTATAAGCCCAAATGTTAATGCATTTTCAGGTCTAAACAACTCAAACTGTTGCTTATCAGAGCTGTGGCTAGCTGAACGCTGCTGATGCTACTACATTTAGCAAAATTCATCTACCATATAAGTCAATCAGCAGCATATGGTCTGTTCTTCTCTCCCCCATGTTTTTTTGAGAATTCTTCAGTAAAAATACATTGGAAATTTTGCTCTCTAGGTACTCTTGATATTTACTTGTCTTGAGAAGCTTCTGCAAACAGATCTCATTTTCTCTTGTCCTTTCTTTTTACAGCAATATATTGCAGATGAAAGAAAAACAGAAAAAACACATTCTCCAGAAATGATGCATTTAAACCCCTTCCTCCCATGCTACACAATCATAACTTTGCTCTTCACATAGTTATTCATCCCCCACGTTCTTAATTTCTGCTTGACTTAACAGCAAGAAGAAAATATGCTCCCTACACCCCCAAATACTAAATAGAAAGATTATCACACTCAGCTTAAGGGCCAGAGGAACTGAAGTGCTTATTTAACACCTGGATTACTGCAGTGCTCTGAAAGGCCTAATTTAAAAGCTGCTTAGAAATTTCTTTTGGCAGAGCCCATTTAGATTTGCTGTCAGAAACACTGTCTGTGTTCTTTGCTCTGGGCTAAGCACCAAGATGTGCCACTGTACATTTTAAATACCTAAGCCATTCAGGGCTTGGAACCTTTAAGGAACTATAGGATTGGACATTTGAAGACAAAGGTCGATGACCACTCTCCATCATCAACCTGAATACCTGAATGCTACCACTTAATTCCTTTCTTTCAGTCTTTCTACCTTGGCACCCTGGATTCTCAAGCTCCTGTTACCTTCAAGACCTACCCTGGGACTGGGAAAGCATTTAAGGCACACCTTAAGGCCATTTCCTTTAATGGAAAAGGATACACATATATCTTTCATGAAGATAAATAGTCATGATGGGTGAGATCACACCCAGAACCTCACTGGAAAATCAGGAAAATCAGCTTTTTCTTTTCTCTCTCTCTCTCTCTCTTTTTTTTTTAATGGGTTAATGTTAATTATGTCCTTGATTTTTCTCCCCAGCAGATTTGTGTTCTATATTAAACTGTTGGACAGATTTTTTCCATCTGATCCAGTGCAGAGTAGAATTTGTTTGGAGAACAAGTTTGCTTTCCTATTGTTAATTGTTACAATAATTTACATTTCCTAAATAATAACAATAATAATAATAAATCTTTTCTTAAGTGCAGGGAAAAGTACTGAATCCAATCCATATGCTAAGGCACCTAAAAGCAATGTCCCAATTTAAAAACAACACTTCAAAAAACACAGTTTATTATAGAAATTATTATTGCCAGAAGCACTTTGCAAAGTATTATGGCAGAGAAATGCCCTTTTGAGCACCTTTGTCTTCAATGCTTTTTACAATAAACTTACTGTGCGGTTCCTGATGTACAGAAACACCTTCTGAGTCTGCTGTGGCCCGCTGATTATATCTGGGAAACAGGCAGCTTCTTGAGATGTCATACGGTCATGGGGAAGTCTACTCTGGAAAGCTGCGCCCTCCACACCTACAATAAAAAGACAAGTTGTCCACAAATACTGCAAGAGAAACTGCTAGCAAATATCGTCACACTACATGTCCTAGGCGAGACATACAGAATAGCCCTAAGTCCACATGCTGACTGTTCATGCTACCCTTTCATTTTCTCCATTTATTTCTGCAAGACATGCAGCTTTTTAATTAGATAGTTCTTGAAATTACGGATCTTATCTAGTTTCAATGGAAGAGCCACACTATGGCAAAAAAAAAAATCTGAAATAAAAGGGGAGGTGGGTAGCAGAGTGTATCAATAAACCTGACTGGCCGGCCTTGTGTGGTTTTTAGTTTCTGCCAAGGTAATGAAAACATCGTGGAGCCCATTCAAGCCAAAACACCTAAGCACATGCACAATGCCATTGCAAGGGTCCCCTCATCTGCTCCCCAGCTTTCATTCGCACTGAGCTTCTCTTACTAGATCAGGAGAAAGCCATCCTGGCCTATCCTTTTACCTATTTTACATACATCTACAACATGCACTGCAAAGAACTGCAAACCTGTTTAGGCCACGTCTTTATCCCCCTTCCCAGTGTTAGCTATTATCAAAAACACCAATTTTCTGCATTTTCCTTGTAAACGCTCCACACCAACTAACACTGAACACAGGCAGGAGACGTGGTATGTGGAAAGACTTCACTCAAAGGCACCTTTTCAGCCAACATAGTTTGAACAAACTAAGAACATGGGCATTGAGCTAATACTAAAGCTGTCTACCTTACATCCCTTAATCCTATCTGAATACAAATTATACTGGACCAAAAGGAACAAGCCAAGACAGAGCAGCAGGGAGTGCTGCAGCACAGAGGGGCTGCGGAGGGTGCATCTTGCAGGCATAAGGAGCAAAGCAGAGATGCAAAATACAGTAAGGACAATATAAAATTCATATCCTAGGAAGTGACATAAGAACATCAGGAAAGACAGGAGAGAGGGCATTTAATCTGGAAAGATATAAGCCAATACATCGCAAGGGAAAATAAGGAAAAGCACAAATATAGTAAGACTGAGATCATGGTGTTGAAGGGCAAACCCATCAACCCTGGTTGGACTCGATCTTGAAGGTCTCTTCCAACTATAATGATTCTGAGATTTACCAAATCTGGAGTTGTTGAAACAATTGTGGTAAATATCAAAGGATAGATCAGCTTGCAGTGCCTGTTCCACTAACAAAGACACCTGTCTGAAAGTTTGCAGCTTGTGTGCAGAGGTGCACTTTACTGTATGGGGGAAATGCAGGAAATTCTCTTCTTTCAGTTCTGATCGAACCACACACACCATTAATTTCCAAGCATTTTTATGTCCCCAAGAAGAAGAAAAATAAATAAAGCAAGAAAATAGTTGTGAAGCTAATAAAATTCAATCATAAGCAGTGATTAAAAGAGCTAACTGTGTGACGACTCAAGGTATAGAAACTGCCTATAACCATTTACAGGAATTTGACACCAGAGGATATTAGTAGCAGAGAATATAGAGCGCTACTTGGAAGGAAAGCTGAAAACAATAGGAAAAAAATAACACACAAGTAATACTTTGATAGTAATATGCAGCTATGGAATAGAAACCCACAGCCAGGCTACAGTTTCAATCTTCTTGCCTAATCAGCATTCTCCTAGCCCTTCTGTTTTCCTTCTGTTTGTGCAAGGATCTGCATAGGAATACATAGGTATAAACTCTGCCACACTGTCATGCAAATCGAAGGTACCAATTCTCTGCCACTTTCTTAAAATAAAAAAACTTTCAGATTCTAGTTCCTCAAGTGCCAGCAAAACGCTCAGCAGCGGTTTGCAGGCTAGCCAGTTAAACAGAACTTTAAAATGCCTCGTTACCAACTTCCTCCACAAACTTGTGCTGAAATGAATGGGTGCCCTCAAGATATTTTCTAGAGAGCGTTGACTGATATGCACAATGTCTGACCAACCACCACAGAGCCTGCAGATGTAGATTTATATGCCAGCTGCCCAGTTCTAGATAAGCTTTGCTGTTCATCTCTCAAACTCGTGAAGTCAAAGAACCTGGTGCTCCAAATGCCTTGGGAGAAGATTCCATGCTCTTAAGAAAAATCAAAAATAACTTGCGTGACTCTCAAGTGTTGGTGGGCTTTTTTTTCTTTCTTTTGTTATATTTAAGGCTACATCTTTTTTGACAATACCTATTATAAAGGTGATAATTTTCAGGAGCTATCTTCAATGAGAATCAATACTTAGAAGGCAGACCAAAAAAAAAGATTTGACATTGGACAATTTAGAAAAAGTGTAAATAAAATTAGCAAAGAGATTATTTAATTAGCTCCAACTACCAGATAATCATATTAGAACCTGAATTTAATTTTGCAACTATAGATCAAAGCGAAATCACTTTCAGGTAGATTAAATTGTCCCCCATACTCTCCCTTTATGTTTTATGTTTCATGAAAGCAACATGACAAAGGGGCTCTCAATCCAGAGCTAAATACACTTTTGTCAACACAGTACATAGGCAACTTTTTAATTAAGGTAGCAATTGTCCTGCCTAGACTTCTCTTCTCACACACACATACACACTTGCCAGAACAAACAAGTACCAGCAACCATTAAGTGCCAACAAACTGCGTGAGGTTTTCATGATCTTCTCCCTCACAGGACAAATCCTGAGGGATGCTGCTCATTTAAAGACTTACTGAAACATCTGCGGATGAAAAAAATCCATCAAGCACTCTGAAAGTTGTTTGGCTACTTAATATTTCAATTGCCAATACATATCCTTGGTGTACATGCGGTGTAACAAACAGAATTTGCAAACAGAATCAATGTCTGCCCAAAAATGAAATAGGTAATGCATCCTTAAATCCACTATTCCTAGGATTCAGAAATTCTGTGTAAGTGATAAGATTCAGAACATAACTAGGCTCCTTTATTTAAGGCAGCAAGGATGCACTTTCAGATGAGTATCTCAAATTTGTATTTGCTTCGAAAAGACTAATTTTGAAATAGAGAATGGGTTCTGGAGCCTCTGACTTATTTTCTTAAAACCTTAATCTTCACTCGGTTGGAGAGAGCAAACGCAGGAGGGTCAGGAGGGTTGTAGAAAGATTTTCAGTCTAAAAGTACCAAATAACAAAGATAGCAAACGTGTGAATTAAATGATAACTGCAAACCACTGGCATCGGTGCTTAGAACAAACGTCAAATGAAATTCATAGTGTGTCCACTGAAAAGCAGACTAGTCTTCCCTACAGAGGAGCCTTCTGAGCTAACCACTGGCACAGTTCAGACTCAATCCCTTAAGGAAAAACAAAACAAAAGCACACCGACACACACAGTTTCTTCTTCAAATTAGAAAAAGGGCCTAGTGCTCTGAAACCCAGAGCTCTCAGCATCATTCTATCTGGTAGAAACTGGCTATGCAAGAAGTACCTTCTTGTATTTTTGGACTCCTCTGAACATGGAGAGGAGTGGAGGGATGAGAGATCGGCCTGAGGCATTTGAATGCAGGTTGGTTTCTTTTTCCATAGTTGGTGCAGACCTCAACAGGGTGAAAATACCCCTCACTTTATTTTTTTATTTATTTTTTTTTTCAAAACAGGTGAGCAAACAGCCTCGCTAAATTCTGGACACCCACACCCATGCGCACTTGCAAGCATCAATCCCTAACTTGGCGGCTCTTGCTACTAAGTGGCAAGCATCAAACGCCACCCTCACCTGATGCTTGGCCGTCTCCATACCCTCCAGAATTGTCGTCTTGAAGTCCTCCTGCTTGCCCTGTGGAAGGAAAGAGGAGAACTCAGGGACCTTACTCCATAGGTTAAATCATACTGGACATAAAGGCCCGGCAGTTGGCGTTTTAAGATATTAAATTTCACCAACTAACTAAACCCATTTTCTGAGAATCCCATCTTCTGGAATATAGGTCCAGGGCACCGAACTCTGTGGTCTTCTGAAGTGTTAATACATGTTACTGGAACCCTTTAAATCAGACTTTTATGGGAAATCTAGGAGTACACGGTATGTAACATTACTTGTGGCTAAATACTTATGATCAACTTGATTAATGACTGGATTTTAAATAATAAGATCACATTTCTTACTACTAGGTTAAAGATTGGGTGGATGGGTACTGTTAGATCATAAGGGTCTCAAACCACAAGAATTTGATAATCTTGCCCTTGATATTCGCCAGTCTCCCAACAGGCGAATGAAAGTTTTGAACCATTCTGAAAAGCCTCTTACTTTCAAGACAGCCTCTTCCTTTCTTTGCCATAAACCCTTTTTGAAGCTGGATGAAGGAACAAGGCCTATAAAGGCACAGGCCAACCAATCTGGCTTTAGTGCCCTTGGTGCACCAACAATCCTTCACACACCAAGACGATCTGGGGGTCAGCAGTATTGACACACACTCGGCCTCACTGATCACCAATATGATCAACACCCAGAGCTGAAAGACATGGGGCTTTCGGTCTACCCAGAGCTGGAAAAATCAGGAAAGGGAAAGCACCCGGCTGAAAGAACTGAAGAGGTCTCAAATTTGCCTGAATGCAAGTCCTAAATAGCAGCGTTGATAGGACTGGAATACAAATGGAAACAGAATATTTACAGGAAAGGATGAGCACAGCTGTGATGTCTATCAGAACAAGCTAATATAGGTCATCTTCTTACACTCTCCAAATCTTCACAAGAGAAACCCCTCTGAGTTTAGCTCTTAAGTGATATTTTTCTACAACCAGATGTTAGGCTAAACATTTTTTCAGCTCCTAAGAGCAGGAAGCAATGAGCATTGCAGACAGCTAATCCTCATGTGGCTATCCAGACACGTATCAAGACACCTTCAGAGCAAGTTCTTCATAGGAACGTCCCAACACTCAGCACACCGGGTGTTTCCTGAAGCCGAAAACAAACCCCCATTGGAATAAACCCCTGTGGGTAGCTAATGAAGCAGTCACTTCCGTGACCACGACCGCCCAAGGTGCAACTGTTCAAGGAGCCATCTTCAAACAAGAGCAGGGTTCAAAACACGGTTGTTGAGATTACTCAGCAGTTTAGGATGGGGTAGACAACTTCACTAGAATACAGTTTGAAGCTCTCGGGAGAAACCTTTATTAGTGTAAAAATAAATAAATAAATAAATAAAAATGGTAGTTCAGACTGAATTCTTACCTTCTAAAGCAACATACAAAAGTGAAATCAAGCGTTTCCGTACGTAAAAATAAATTGTGCACTGTAACATTGCACTGTAACATACAGGTGAAATTAAATAATAAAAGGGGAAAAAAAAAAGTTTCAACACAGCTCTCAAGATACCCACAAAACTGAGCGTGCGTGCTTCAAGGCACTATAGTTTTACTGTGACCTAAGCCTTTTCCTAAGAAAAATTCCATTTGCTATAAAAGGACTAGCCTATCGCATGTTTGAATATGGCTCTGATAGAACAAACATATTTTCATGTTGTTACAACTGAGGAGTAAGTCTTATATCTCACCAAGCTACTAGCAGGAAAGTTTAGAGACTCAAAAGAGACACAGAGGAGAAATATTTGGATTCCAGTAGGCTTCAGAAGTGTCAAAACCAGCTACCTATCAACCCAATGTATCTGCAATAGCAAGAGAAAATGTCCATCTTGATTTACATCAAAAGCATTGGGCTGCATTTGCTGGAACATATGCCAACATTACAGTACCTGCTTCCATCACTCACGGAGGGAATACCACAACCCAACATAAATATTTACCCTCCAACATAGGCAGTTTTTTGCATGAAAAAGTATACTTGCCCCTTCCATAAGTTACAGAGTTGAAAGGGTGCCGACACCAGCCAGCAGCAGTCATTATTCCTGACTTGGCAGAAAGGACAGAGCTGCTCTCAGCTTAATTACAAAAAATATTCAATACTTCCTGTTGTGTTAGTAGCAGCTAAGGTCCAAAAAGTCATTTCATTTTGGTCACCCACTCATCCACTGTTCAAACAATCATCCACTGCCTTAAAATAAGGCATAGCAGCACAGGACGACCAAAACTAAGTGCTGAATTTAATTAACAGGCAAATCAGATGAGGAAAGACAGAGGCAGAGCACCACTAAATCTGATTAGTCAAATGATATTAATCTGAATCATATTAAGTCTTACATTTCCTTGGAAAACAGCAGCTAAAAACATGTATTACCACAAACTAAGAACACTAACAAAACTAGAAAAGCAGTTGCTGGAAAAGTCTAGAAAATGAGATCTTCAGGCAGCAATGAAAAGGAAAATCCCATTTAGCCAATGTAAGGAGGAAGAAAACCAGCAGCTCCTTGATTCCAAAGTGGGTATCACTGAACATGAACTCAAATTAGTTCAACAATGAAAACAAATTTGGAAGGTTTTTGCTATCAAACACTATTTCTCACAGAAAACAAACACACAAAAAAACAGCCATGATAATTAAGGAAGTTTAAACTTTAATGAAATACTCTTATCCCTTTTAAAACTGCTCTGCAATGATTTACAGCAAATCTTGCAAATCAGACTCTAAGGGCTTGCATAACCAGAATATCTGAAATCCCCCCAGCTGAGCATATTAATGGAGCCAACTCCAAGTAAGGCCAACATTTTGCTATTTCCTACAGTGTAACGATTAATATTGTCCTTCTAATGTTAACTGATTCTGAGTACAGAGTAATAAAGTATCAGCTACCATACTCCTACATTTTTTAACATTTGCACAATTAGATTTTTCAGCACAAAAGGCAGTAAAATGAAAAAGTTTTACACCTTTACTGCATTACCTAGGTTTTCGTAAGCTTTAAACAGGCAATAAAAATTGAAACATTTCCAGGTCTGATGAAATAAAGCCCAGAAATGAGGATAAATTAACAGTAATATAAACTAACTTTGGTACCTTGCTAAATATATCATCCTGCTCTAATACTACAGTGCTATTTAGTATTTCTTCTAAAACATTTATGGTCTTGCTTCAAAGAAGTGATTAAGAGCACAGCTCAACTATAAATATTTCATCCATATTAAAATACACAGCAGACCTCATGTGTTGCCCTGCTAACTTCATTGGAATTACATGTCTCAATACACCTTAAAAGCCAGCAGAAGATGAGTTAACACTCTGGTGCCTCCATCTTAGAAAATAAAGACAAAGAGATCTACCAATGTGCATAGTTTGGGAAGCCTTGAGAAATACAGCGAGACTAGCCACAGAAAAACAACAGAAAACTTGTGTCTGCTTTCACATGTCCATGTTTTACACATCACAGGATGTCTGTCCCTGGAGAAAAGACAATGATCTGAATTCTAGTTATAGAAACAGGTTGTATCTAGTTGACTGTACATAATGCCTACAGAATAACTGCTAAACACATTTCGATATATGCAGAATTACACAAGCCTATCACTGACTCATCCACCTTTTCTTCCTTTAGAGGGCAGGAAGTTGGGTGCTCTTCATCCATTACACCTCTGACTGGACTCTGGAATCTTTCTTAGATGCACTAAATGGCATCCGAGATATACACTGGAAATGTATTAGTACTGTACTTCACAGATTAAACCCCAGAGGCGCAAGCTAAATTAAACAATAAAGTCAAGATACTTGCTTAATTGTTCCTATTAAAATTCTACTTTTAATAGATCAGCCACCACTATGAAGAACGGGAGAGAAAAAGGGGATTTTTATCCTTTCAAACGCTTCGTTATAGAATTCCTGTATCAAGACAGGAGCCCGTAACTGAAGAGAAATTCCAGTGGCAAGCCCTAGCAAATAAAACACAAATGTGGCTTTCAGTATTTCCTGAAAATGAAGGTGACTATCCTCAAGCTAGTATCAGATTCAAATGTTCTGTCAACATGCCCAAACTTGCCTGCCAAAGAAGAAACAAATTAAGTGCAGACCTGAATTCAACATCTGAAATAAACCAGCAAAAGTTCAACTATTAAATTTCAGCTATTGTCTAAAACCAGCTAGCACATATTGAATTTTGTACAACCTCTCTGGGCGGTGCGTTTTGCAAAAAGCATTTTGGTATAGCACCACGAGACCAAACGCTGGTTGCTGTAAATACATCAGAGGTAAAGAATGGAGAACGCACTGCTAATGCCACGGAAATTCTACTGCTGCTTCCTGAACAAGGCTGAATAACAAACTTCCCAACGCAAAGTGAAGGTTTACAACTCTGCCAAAGACAATGAGTAAAGCACTGAAGTTTCAGCAAAGAGTATCCACTAAGAACTACGGATTATGCACATAATTTAAAGTTACAGGAATCACCATCAACTGATTTGCACAGCAGCTCTCCCAATAAATCTAACTTAATTCTCTCAGAAGAGTAAGTGAATGTTCATATATGAGCAGGTGACAGTTAAGTGCTAAAGCGACTATTCTGATCAATAGGAGGTTTCTAAAGACATGCTAATAAGGATAAAAATGGAAATTTTCATGAGAGGTTTGGCTTTGTTTGCAGTTATGTATATTCTCATCTTCATCAGGGTACTTTCCTGCGTTTTTAACCCTCCTTCCACAGATGGGGCCAACAGAAACAGCATGATCAGAACAATCATTCATAACTAGATCAAAACTAGACACAGGACTCACGATGCTGCACCTGACCTCCTTAATTTCTGCCAATAAAGCAGGTAAAGATGCCACAGGAAAGGTCTCTCTCCACTCACCAGATGGTTCCTCTGGCTCGCTTTCATTTTCTTCTTCTGCGGGAGCTGGTGGAGGTGGTGGCGGGAGCTTTTTCTCTTTCTCAGCTTTGGCATTTCTCTCTTCTTCAGAGTAATACTCATCTTCTGACAGGTTTGCAAGACTCTCATCCATCTCTCTGTACTCCACCTATAAAGAGCACAACCACAGAATAAACACACTGAAGTAATTCAAGTCTAACTACTAGAGTGAATACCACCAGCAACATAACTGCTTACAGGCACAAAGAACCTGGGCTACCTTGCCCAAAATCCTACCACAGGCACTGTGTTACACAAAGCTCCAGCAGCTTCAGTTTCATGCGTTTTGACCTCCCCTACTGGCTTCAGCACTTAATTGTCCCTAAGAGTAGGAAGTCTCTCCTAGTAACTAGCCCATTTTACATGTCTCTGTTGTTGAGTCAGTATTGTCTTCAACCTCTGTTGCTTTCTTTTGAATCTTTACCTTCCCAGTATATTTATGGGTGACAAATCCCCTCCCAGTCCAAACCACTGCAGTGAAACTAAACTTTCAGGCTCCTTTCATATAATAGGCTCTTCACCCTCATTATCTACCAGCCTTTATCTTACATGTTCCGAGTTGAACTCATCTGTTGAAGATGATCAAACACAATTGCTAATAGGACTTTCCAAGAAAATCTCACCATATCCTGCACAGTGATGTACCTTGCATAGATATTCTCTTCTTTTTTTTCAGTAGCTACAATTTCCCCCTGGCCCCAAATAAAACCCAGGCCTGAAAAATGCCCTTAGTGATCTCTTATCTCTCCCAAGAACTCGAGCATCTCTCCAACGCTCAGCGCAGACCTAGCAACTTCAGAAGGATTATTAGAGGCAACCACAGCACCAAGCACACCTGCACATCTAGTACATACGATTTTGATTACCATAGCTGGCTTACAAAGCCAAAATTAGTAACAAGGATAAAATCTAACACAAAATAAGAGCACAGATAATGATTTAGAAGGAATATACAACTTATTAAGCATCTAACCACAGAGGATCTGTTTAACACTCAACGTTCAAAGAAAAGACAAATCAAAAAGCACTATGAAAAGATGTCATCTACCAAAAGCAACCAGGGAAGACCCAAGAGTTACTCATATACAATGCTTAGTACAGCTAGATTCTTCTGTTGACAGATCAAACATACAGATCAGATTCTTTTACTGACAGATCTCTGCTACTGAAGGTACATGGGATGGAGCACATACATTTATATTAGCCCTTTACCAGGCAATTCCAATCACTAAGACAGAGGAATTAAGTCTCTTCTCACTCAGCCCTGGAAAAGCAGAGAAGCTTTTCCTGGGGGAGAAATTAAATCAGCTCACTGCATGGTCGGTCACACAAAAGCCTGAGAAGGTTCAATCAGAGGAGTGGGAACCATCTAGGTGATAACAGAAGCAGAAATAGGCTCCCTCCCTTGTAAACTTGACCAATTTCTGGCATTTTTTTTGCAAAATTGGAAGTTTAAATCTGGGAAAGATCAAAGTATGTTTTTTCTGCCAAACACTAGTCAGTTGTCTAACAAACTGATGAGAGCACACTGCACCTATGAGCACTGATAATGAAATGAAAATGTCAGTCCTGGCAGAAAATAGATATGCTCAAGGATGAGCACTGATAATGAAATGAAAATGTTTCATTAGAAAATGAAAAAATAGATAAGGCAGAAAATAGATATGCTCAAGGTATTTTCAAAACTGAAAATCTATGCAGGTCTTAAAGGAAGCTTTTCAGTTTAAATATTCAATCTGTCCACTCCTAATTCCTTTAAATCCTCTCAGACAACCTAATATGATAGATTCAGAACAGGAACTGTGAATTGTTGAATTCCTGTTAAAATTTCCATTTATCTCAATTGACCCAAACAAAGTTATGATATTTCTTGCATCATGACTACTTACATGTTATTGACTCACAGTCAAGAGCATTAAACAACATATGTACCATGTGTCTTAAAGCATTTCAGAAGAAACATCTGCAAGCTGGAATTTTGATTACAGTTGAGTTTTGAGTTTTTAGTTGTGCATTGTGCACTCTTTTTGAGTTAGCAGAGCAGACATACAATGAATTACAATCACAGCGTATTTGTTATCTTCTTCTTGTTTAAAAGTCAAAATAAGTAATATTAAGCAAAAAGTGACAATAAAATGATAATCCTTTAAGAATATGACAGAGCAAGCAGAAAAGGGAAATCTCATAAAAATTCCATTGACCATAAAATAATGACATGTTCCTCTTTCTTTCCCTGCATGATGTTTTTGTACCAGTGAAGCAAAATAATGATCCTTATTATCATATGTACTTTATTTTTTTTTTTAGATGGAGAACAAAACTTATTGTAACTTAAAGGAACATGGCAGCCCAAGAGATACCCTAAAAGGGTACCATTTAAACTGTTTTAAATATACTCTTTAAACGTGTCTGTTTAAATAGGAAGATTTTCTGCTGATAATGAATTTCCCTGCCTACTGGAAAGGACTTTATATTCCCTCCTCTGCAGCACATTGAGCTGCTCCCTGCGGAGCAAATGTGTTAGTCTTTACACCACCACCAGGGTCTTCTGCGAATTCCCACCCTGCAGCAAGCTACAGCGATCTCAGCGTATCCCAGTCATTTGGTGGGGGGCGAGATGGCTTCTTTTGCAGGTGGCACTGCAGGCTGCATAACTTGAAAGAATAATCAAGTCCAAAAAGAACAGTATTTTCCCAAGGTTTATTTTTAACCAGGGTAAGATCCCCAAGCAAGCTCACAGCACAAACGTTTGTACCAATTCCTGGCAGTGCCACCTTGGGCTAGCGCAGAGAGATGGGAGATCACATCCTTAGCAAGCGGAGTCACCAGCGCAGAGAAACATCACTAAAACGTAACCTGCGAGAGTTCTCCAATTCTTATTTGCTGACAGACCATTAAAAAGCAAACAAACCCATGGATGCTGCCTCTGAAGAGGCTGCAGCCCGACGCGAACTGACAGCTCCCAAGCGCAGAGGATGTGTCGGGCTATCTTGTGGGCAGCACTCGGGAGTAAAATATCCAAAGCCACAACACATCAGTCAGGGGCCCTAACAGCACTTCCAGCTTCTGTATCAAACACACCCAGTTCTGGGCACACCCAGAGCCTTCCAAGGCATCTGCAACACGGGTTCCGAGCAAAACACGCAGTTGGTGCAAATAAAGTATTCTCATATGTTCATAACAACTTCAGGATGGATGACTCTGCAGGTCCAAACTACTGGAGGTTGCTCAAGGGCCTTCAGTTTTCATCACCAAGCGCCTCCTTAGTCTCAGCATGAAACCGGTTCAGTTTCCCAAAGCTAAGCCAAGGGCACCGAAGAACAGGGTGCCCCAAATTACCCGCACAACCCTGCCAGACCAGCTGTGCTCCAGGCACACGGCGGTCCTTAGGAGCCGCTCCTCCCGTGTACTCCTGACAA